TATGCTTACAATACTCAAGTTCATGTTCGTTGTATAAAAGGTATCACGAAGTTTTTTTTCCAGAACGAGTATCAGATAAACCAAAGTGACCTTTGAAATAGGACCCATTACACTGATTGACAAAGTAAATGTTCTTAGCCTAGATATCATGATATTTTAACCATTTCAAAGTTAATACACAATATCTTAGAATTACACGAAAGCTCTCAAATTAACATAGAATATTTGTAAAATTTGTGTATGTCAGTTTCCAACTCCGTACGTTTAGCTAAATTCATCATTGTAATGGAGAAAAAAACATGATTACAACAATGCAATGCTTTAAATATATTGAAATTGCTTTTGAAAGATTTTTCTCACAAGTACATATGTGAACAACAAGAAATTTAACAAACAAACCCATAATTTGCTTTTAAATTTATGGATTGTTGGTATATTCCACTTTCGCACTTTCGTTGCTGTCGATACACAAAAAATTCTCCGCTTCGCTTTTTAGTCATCCCGAGAATCATCACGTGACCGTTGTGCAAACTGAAAGGTGTTTAAACGCTTTTCCCACAAAATTGGAGAAAATGTGTATTTCAAACGATTTGCCAATCCAAAGAACACATATCAATGTATCACTGATTCTGTTTCAATGTCCCTAACACGCAGGTAACAAAAAATTATCGGTTTGTGAAATTTTACTTTTTTTTGTGACATTCGGCCGTACCTCAGTGGAGTACCTTTAAGCGCATTAAAAATTTGTTGGACCAAATTAACAAGTAATGGCACAAGGATGATGGTGCATTGTGTCACAGGATCAATATAGTTACTCTTTTTCTATCTCAAAATTGTGTGCGGCTCTTTAGGCATATTAAGCTTTAGAAATAAATATATTTTCTTAATGTAGAACAGACAAATAAACATGTTGTATTTAATATGGTGGATTTAGAACATTTTAGATGCTTATCACCCGAAGTTAATAGCGTTGAATGTAAATTTTGATATAGGTAGCAAAATGTAAACAAAGAAGTATTTTTTTCACTTCCAAACACAATTCTAAATTTCCATACCTGTACTTATTTCCAAAAACACAAAGGAAGCAAGATATGGTACGCTGTATGGTCAATGAGAAACAGTTTGGACTCTCTTACAGGACATCAAAAATAGCAAACTTTTAAAAGTGAAAAATTTTAAGTAAGAACATGTTTACAACTGAACATTGCGTTCAAAAATTATTACGTATTATTTAAATTAAATCAGTTACAATTTTATCACATGATGTTCTTTGCATTTCGGTTCACATGATCGCGATTATTTTTTGTTTAGTAGACACCAAATTTTGTCTCCGGATGATCATGTGAGCCAAAATATATGCACTACAATTTTTTACTAATATGTTTTCTAAACTGCCGTCATTATTTCACCTAAAATATATCGTGTCTTCGTGTCGGCGCCCTCAAAAGTCACCATAAGTGAACATATTATCGGGTTTTCGCCTTCAACTTTTGAGGGGTGGGCAGAAAAACAGAGTTACCGACGTCAAAAGATTATCAGTTGTGCATTGTAACACCGCACTTTGGGGTCAAAGTGCGTTAAACAGGAACATATGCATTTTTTAACATCAGGCAAATGACCGCACTTTGGGGTCATAGAACATTATTGTTCATTATGTTTTAAATAATACATTGTAGTCAAAGCCAATGGTTAACAAAAATCAAGGTATTAAATAGACGCAAACATGTGCCCTGAATTATAGTAGAATCAATAGGGATTTAAATGGTCTTGATTAGTAAGTGAAGAACTTTCACCAAATAAATCACCAAATAAAGAATTTGTATCTTAAGATATTTTTTCTCAAATTTTCCATTTATTTTAAAAGAATGTACACCTTTCATTAACTCCATTGTTTTTAGCTAAATGCATTATTCTCCCGTTTTTTATTTACACATTTTATAGAAATATGATAGTCTTAGCAAAGACTAAGGTATTAATTCTGGGAAATCTTAGTAAGACATTTCAGTAAAAAATGTGTCTGATAATATGTTGAAAGAGCCATTTATTAAGCTCAGTGTGACATATAAGAAACTTGACTAGGTGTAGATGCGGCTTTAAGTAGTTGTCCGTACAGGCAGTACTAAAAATATCAACTATTTAAGTAGTCGCACATTAAGAGCGGAGCTTCAGAATAATGTAAAATTCTCACTGGGGTTATAGAGGGGATTGTGGGGTATCGATCCCCCCGAGGGTGAAAAATAACGTTTTAAAGGCCCATTATGCTTTTATTTGTTTTTCTTAAAAGCTTTCTTATTTTGATGTTCTTCTATATTATTCAAAAAATACACATTGGCCAATTACCTGAACCATCTTTTTCATCTGTTGCTTTTTGGCAATGAGGAGTACAGTCATAGTGAATTAGTATTTTATATGGAAGTCTAAATACTACAGTGTTTTGACTTCTTTTATGACAAATAATTTCACATTTATCGCTACTTTATTTAGGTAACAAGCATCTTACATTTCTCAGAAACCATTATTTTAACATTATAAAATTCATGTTTGCTCTTTCTAAAGAAGTATGTAAGATTTCCCATAAAAAAGCCTCTGGCGAACGGTTGTCACGGAGCTTACGAAAACCCTTAAGTTTGTTGATAAGCTTAATAATGTATTTGTAAAAATCACTATTTATGGTCCGATCAAAAAACTTGATGTTTCACCAGAACATTGTAATAGAGTATATTTATAATTCTTTGGAAAAAATATTAATTGCATTTTATTTCATTCCCAACATATTTAAAATGGGGCACAATATGGCACCAAAAGTTATCAAGTAAATGACCGACAGAACGGGATATTTTTCGCAGCATCTTTTAATTCTAGGAATACACAATTTCTGTACTAGAGTATTTTGAACGGTGGCATAAAAGTGACATTTGTTTTTTTTTGTTTTGTTTTTTTCGATACTTTTTTGTTTTGTTTTTCGTACAAATTTGTGTTTGTTTGTCCTACATATTTTTTTTTTTTTTAGTTTTGAATACATACTTTTTTTTAGTTTGGAATACATATTCTTTTTTAGTTTGCATATATATTTAATTTTAGTTTTGCATACATATTCTTTTTTAGTTTGCATACATTTTTTATTTTATTTTTTTTTGTACATATTTTATTTTTGTTTTCTTCGTACATATTTTTACAAGACGCCATTTGAAAAGTAGAGGTTTGGATAATTACACTATTTGTAAAACACCATTTTCAAACACTTCGCCATCTGTAAATTACAGTACCCCATTTGCAAATGCCATTTACAAATACCAACAATTTTATTTTGGAGGTATCAAAAAAATAACCACACTTTTTATTATATATATAAATATATAATCCGTGGTAACCAAAAGAAAGGTTCTGCATATGGTCTCGATGTGGTTAACATTTGTCACAAAGTGCCTTAAAATCCTTCATTGGGTTTCGGAGCGGACATGAAACCCAAGTCTTTATTCTTTGACCTGAAGGTGTGACCCCGACCTTGAGCCGGCACACCTGGCATATAAGTTCTGCACTTTATCTGGATGTGCTAAAGAATTAAGTTTCATGATTCTCAATTTTCAGGGGGTGGGGTTGAGTGGTGCATATTCATGGAATAATAACTGATCACCAATCAACAGCCCTTTCCAAATAGACACTAATATAAAAGTATATAATAATAAAAAACAATAATTATATAAAATATTATATAATATAAAAAATGGGCCGGAAAGGTTCGGCCGAAATCAGACTTGCCCGGCCGAAAACGACTTGGCCGATTCCAAAAATGGGCCGAAATGTGACCAAGCCACTGTGTTAGTTTTATACTCACATATGGGCTGTTATGAGATTTAAAGGCTGTTTTGATTGGCTAAAATATGTATGAAAAACAAGAAATAAAATATGTACGAAAAACAAAAAACATAAAATATGAATGCAAAACTAAAAAAATATGTATGCAAAACTGAACAAAATATGCATGCAAATCTAAAAAAAATTATGTATACAAAACTAAAAACAAAAAAATGCAAATGTCACTTTTATGCCACCGTAATTTTGTTATATGAACACAATTTTTAGATATTTCAAGTGGTAAAGTAAATGAAACATTTATCACTTAAGCATCATAAAGTATAGACCGCCATCATGAACTCCACCTCTCAAATATTCAAATGTCGCAGATAGAAAATAAGTCAGTACTCAATATTTAAGCAGAACTCAGATGACACATTTAGACCTCTTGAACCCAAAGTGCGTTGATATGTAGCACATTTACGCACTTTGGGATCAATTTCTTGATTTTAACCCCAAAGTGCGTTGGACCCCAAAGTGCGGTGTGAAGTTTAACGCACTTTGGGGTCGGACCCCAAATTGCGGTGTTGCAGCGCATGACACGTCGTCCTATTATCAACATGTGTGCCAGCCAAGTAATTTCAAAATCCCTTGACCGATGAAATAATCATGAACCGACACAGAATATAATAGACCATGTTAAGCTTTCACCTCCAAGTGTGACCTTGACCTTCGAGGTAGGGGTCTGGATGACGTACATGATGTGTCGTCTTATTAATTTATTGTAAACATTTGTGTTAAGTATTTTGAAAATCCCTTGATGAATGAGAATGTTAAGGACCGGACACGACATATACCCTCCACCGGACAATGTTAACATTAAAGTGTGACCTTGACCTCGAAGGTAGGGGTATGGATGTTGCGCATGACACATCGTTTATTGTAATATACTTTTGTGCCAAGCTATTTCAAATCTCTTTGATGAATGGCTTAGTTATGAACCGGACACGATGAATGGCTTAGTTATGGACCGGACACGATGAATGGCTTAGTTATGGACCGGACACGATGAATGGCTTAGTTATGGACCGGACACGATGAATGGCTTAGTTATGGACCGGACACGAAAGTGTGTCCGACGGACGGAGCTCATTTCTATAGACCCTTTTTCTTCAAAAAGGTGGGGACAAGAAATTAACAAGTGATAGTTTGTTTTAGTTTAATTCATTTTTTTCCTTCATGACGATATAATTATGACTCCTTTTATACTAATAAAAATTTTAAAAAAAGTTTTATAACAGAAAAGAATTTATTGAACTGGTATGTATACTGTAATGTTTTACTTTTGAGACAAGTTCTTATCATATAAAAATAGGTCCAAATGAGTCTGTGTTGTGACGACATTCAATATTTCTATAATTCCAATATTTCTATAATTCTAGTCAATAAATTCATTGTAAATGTTTAAAAAATGGAACTTATTTTCGTAAACAGTTGATTTCTTTTTGTCATACGTGTTTAAGTATAGATTTAAAAAGCTAAGTACAAAGAAAATTTATATCTGACATTGCTAACTCAATGTGTAGAACTATTTCTCAACTTCGTCTGAAGAATGTCGAACATGGCCGTTTGTTGCGTTAGCTGCTTTAGGCGGAATAACTAGTTTCCGTGAAGTTGTTTGAGCAATTTGTGCATGCTTATATTCTAAAAGCATATGATTGGTTGGAGCTAAACCAATGCATGCACGTAGTACGTTTTCAATACAACTTCTTTGTCGGAAAAGTGAATTGACAACAGGCGTTCCGCGAGGAACAAGTGGGGCTTTGCATAAATAACTAAGAATTGATAAAACGGAATTGAAACTTTGATATTCCATATTGTCCTCAGTTCTATACTGAATTCGCTCGAATATTTCCCCTAAAATTACCAGATCTAATATGAGAGGACACGCTAGAAGAGAATCCTCACACGTGTTGTGAATGACAAGCGTGTTGGACCCACCCATCATTATCTCAGATGTATATTCATCCATGGCTCGCTTGCTGTCGCCTACATGAGGAATGTATTTGATAACAACACAGTGATCTGGACGTTTTCCATCGGGAAACAGAATATTGTTCGAATCTACCATATCGTCAACAACGTTGCTTTTTGAAATCTGAAAGCAGAATGTCCTTAATTACATAACAAATCATTCTTTAATTAGGGAAATTGTTGAAATCTGTTTCTACAAAGTAAACATACATGTAGATTTTTTTTCATGCAAATTGCGTACATAATACCTGAACAGATAATGAGGATATTAAAAAACATTGAAATCAACCGAGACAGCAGAAGTGAAAGTTTAAATACTCAACAATGCTAAAATTGTATTAATTAAAAACAACAGGAAAATGTACCTCTTTAGATCTGAACGTTTGTGGTGCGCTTAGATTTTGTCCATCATTGTTACCTAGATGGTTGTAACTGACTATTGACTTCGGTTTGATGCCTGCACTGACGAGGAAATCTACCAACACGGACTTAAGCTTAGTTTGTCCGGATTTAAAGTCGTCACCCGCGATAAAAACCTTCTTCTTTTCGGCAAGTTCCAAAACTCCAGGTACAAATGTATTTTGTGGTGATCCATTGATGTATGTTATCTGTAATAAAGGAAAGTTAGCAAAACCTTTTTGTCACAATATTTTACAAAAACAACTACCTACATAATTTCTTGTTAATACCCCTTATGGTTTTAGAGTTATGTCCCGGACAAAGTTCAAAGTGTGTAAAAATGCACAAAGGGCAATAATTTCAAAATTAGTCAAGGCAGAGTGAAGGTTCTTTTTGCAATGCACTTCTACTCAATAAGATCTATCTACCTACAAAGTTTGAAGTTGATATATCTTGTAGTTCAGAGTTATGTCCCGGACAATGTTAAAAGTGTAAAAAAACAAAGGACAAAACTCCAAAATTAGGCAAGGCATAGTTATGGATCTTTTGCACTGCACTTCTACTCAATGAAATATATCTACGTACAAAATTTGATGTTGATATCTTTTGTAGTTTCAGAGTTATGTCCCCCGGACAAGAAATATGCAACGGACCGACCGACCACCAGCTGACTCCAGTATACCCCCTTAAACTTCGTTTGTCGGGGGTATAATTAGACCAAGCCCTTTGTAATCTAGAAAGTAGTTCTTTTAAAGCAGCATGCCTCCAGAAATAACAGAAAAACTGCCGTCTTACTAATATTTCAATATGTCTTCAGAAACATTATATATATTCAGTTGAAAGAAATCGAACTGTCACTTAAAATGTTCATATTTTATCATTTTTGCTCTGAAAGCTTTTCCGCAATCGGGAAATACCTCCTTTTATTACTACGGAATTTTTCATCCTACCATTGTGCAGGTTGTATAGGACAAAATCCGGATCTGCGATCCGGAACGCATGGAATCCGTGATCGAATCAAACAAAGTGGGTAACGAACACGGAATCCGTGATCGTTGGAAACGAAAACGGAATACGTTATCGTATCAAACATAGTGGGTAACGAACACGGAATCCGTGATCGTTGGAAACGAAAACGGAATCCGTTATCGTATCAAACATAGTGGGTAACGAACACGGAATCCGTGATCGTTGGAAACGAAAACGGAATACGTTATCGTATCAAACATAGAGGGAACGAATGAACTGCTTTGGTTGTGATATTTGTAGTGGCACAAAGTATTATAAAATATTAATGATCATATATATGATGTCATCATGACCAGTATATTGATTTAAACGTTACGTAAGTAACAACTGCCTTAACACAAATCACGAGATGATGTGTCAAGATAGCGGATATGCCAAAGAAATCGTTGAACAATATTGTTTTATCTGTAATAAACAGCGACATTATAACTTGAGCTCTGGTCCCTTGTTCACTAAGAAAAGATCAGGATCAAGTGATCCTGATTTTATCTTCATTGTTTTATGTTACTAAAATTAATCACATTTTGTTAGAATTAAATGATAAGTTTTCAAAATGTTAAAAAAAATTGCTGATTTGCAAAAAAACCAAACTATTATAAGATAAAATCAACAAATAAAAAAAAAAATACCAAAATATCCGGATCAAAATAAGGATTAATTTTAAAATCAGGAACAATATTTGGATCAACTGTAAAATGCCCGTATCTTGCAAAAATAATAATGACTTTATTCTAAAATTTCATAAACTTGCAAGTCCAGTTTTATCAAGTTAACATTAGATATTTAATCTATAAGGACAAACAATGAAGAATATTAGAGTTATTAAATTTGATCCTGATCTTGATCCTGACCCTTAAATCTTTGTGAACATGGGACCTGGTGTCAAGTCTGCCGATATGATTGGAAAATGTCATTGTTATATTGGAACATAAGCAAAACCGTGTTTACTTTTCAAAATAAATATAAAAATTGAGAAAAAAAATCATATCGTCTTAAATCTTAACAAAAATGTTGTTATGGCAGAGATCTAATTCTGTAGGGGGAAATCACTGCGTTGGAGATTGCACATTAACATTGACATATACCGGATCTTGTCCGAACCAGTGTTGTGACACGTGGCCATGTTGAATAAATTATCTGCCATAGTTATATTCTCTACTACAGTAGATTATGCAAAGACGAAAACATGTTTAATTGACGCTTTTGTCAACATTCTTTCTTGAATGGATTTACACATTAAACCTTACTAGACTAGGGACTGTCTATTAAACCATCTGGAGGCGAGTGGGTTAAATTTTGAAGTGGCCCATTTCAAGTTTTCCCTGTGAGACTGTTATTTTGAATATAAACTAGACCTATCACTGAGGGTGATTAATACCCCCACCAGCAACTTTGTCTTTTTCAAAAATAAGTGTTCTGAAGAAAAATTTGAATTAATTTAAACAAGTTAAAATGGTTTCCGGAGGGGAATTTTTTTTAATATTTTTTAATATTTTAAAGATACTTCATTCATCTCTTTTAAAATTGTTTTAAAAAAAGTTTGTATTGAGAATATTGTTGACAAAAATCGGTCTTCGAAGACCGGTGACCGTCGAGGGCCGGAGAGAATCGATACGTAAGGTAACGTACCGAAAAACGGTGTTAAGTTAGGTTTTTGAAAAGGTCAATTAACCAGTCATGTAGGGTTTGCAGATCACGTGCTTCTACTATTCTGTATTATAACCAGTTCTAATACTTTCTGTGTCATCCCATGGCTACACCTGGCTCATGGTTATGACGTAGTGAAGGCTTGGGGAATATTTCTCGAGGGCTTCCTCGAGTTCCAGCAATTTAACTCCTGCATTCCAAGTCACCAGTTCTAAACATCACACTTGCCGGCTGAATTGAACAGGCGTGTGAAAAAGCTGTCAAAAGCTCATCGCAATTTGCTGGAACATGAACAAGCCCTTAGTTTAGGAATAGAGAACTGTGAGGCAGAGGTGTTTACTTTGTTACAGCCAATTGGGAGGACATACAAAGTGTTAGAACTGGTAAGCATACAGATTTAATGGGATCCAGAGACTGTTCATTGTGTTACTATTTTTACAGAGACTGTTCATTGTGTTACTATTTTTACAGTCATTCTGTGATTTTTCATTTTACAGTAGCCTATTTGTTTTGCTATTTTTTTCTATTTTCTTATCTTTGAATTGTAAATTGTAATTCCAAGTAGTAAGTATAATATGTTGAATTTTGTAAAGTCCAAATTTGAACAAAATCCGTTCACAAATAACCTATTTACACAGAAAAATGCCAGTGTCGGGTTATAAGTGCCTCTGAGTGTATATATAAGCATATTTTTGTACATGAAGTGTCATTTCAGAGTATTTAAAGCGTTTTTTTTATATTTTTGCAGGACTTCATCTTTGGGTGGAAGGTTTTCAAGTACTATGCACCAGAATACACCCCAGTTATTATTTGGATTATTTTATCGTGATTACACAAATTTAAAGCTGCAGAAAAAGTCTAACGGCTAGTGTAATATTTTTGTGCTAAATTTAATTGGATAGTTTTGCTGCTTTCAAATTCCTGTATTGGATATGTATTATTATATCCCCCCCCCTTTCTAACCTTGACTCACATTATTGGTAATTTTGTTGTAGAAACTTGCCATAAATGAGTACCTGGAAGTAATCAGTTATGGAAAAAAGAAAAATAATGACCTACTATATAGTTATAACCAATCAATATGTGAAATATAAAGAACTTGACTTTTGAACTAGTGACGCTATTATGACTAATAAATATGTTAAATATGAAGACTTTGTGATAAAAAGTTTTCAAGGTAATAAGTGGAAACCATATTTACATTTAAGGCCCCTGTGACCTTGACCTTTGAACTAGTGATCTCAAAATCAATAGAGGTCATCTACTACACATGGCTATTCGATATGTGAAATATGAAGACTATGTGATAAATAGTTTTCATGATAATGAGCAGAAACCATTCTGACATTTAACGTACCTGTGACCTTGATCTTTAATCTAGTTACCCCAAAATCAATACGAGTCATCTAATAGTTATGACCAATCACTATGTGAAATATGAAGACTTTGTGAAAAATTGTTTTCAAGAAAATAAGCGGAAACCATTCTGAAATTAAAGATGCCGGTGACCTTGATATTTGAAGTAGTGACCCCAAAATCAATAGGGGTCATCTACTAGTTAAGACCAATCACTATACTTTGTGACACATAGCTCTCAAGATAATGAGCGGAAACCATACTAACATTCAAGTCCCCTGTGACTTTGACATTTGACCTAGTGACCCTAAAATCAATAAGGGTCACCTACTGGTTATGACCAATCAGTTTGTGAAATATGGAGACTTTGTCATAAATAGTTTGTTCAAGATAATAAACGGAAACCATTCTGACATTTAATGCCCCTGTGACCTTGACCTTTGAACTAGTGACACAAAAATCAATAGGTGTCATCTACTAGTTATGGCCAATCACTATACTTTGTGACACATAGCCTTCAAGATAATGAGCGGAAACCATACTAACATTCGAAGCCCCTGTGACCTTGATCTTTGACATAGTGACCCTAAATCAATAGGGGTCATCTACTAGTTATGACCAATCACTATGTGAAATATGAAGACTTTGTAATGACAATTTTTTAAGATAATCAGCGAAACCATTTGGACATTAAATGCCCCTGTGACCTTGACCTTTGACAAGCTTATTATAGAAAAAATTCCCTGTGACCTTGACCTTTGCCACAGTCACCTAAAAATCAATAGGGGTCATCTGCTAGTCATAAACAACCTCAATACCAAATATGAAGACTGTTGACCAAAGCATTCTTAGGCAATTGAGCGGACCTGTGACCTTCGACCCCGTAACTTCAAAATCAATAGGGGCCACCTAATGGTTAGATCAACCCCCATGCCAAATATGAAGACTTTGGGTCAAAGGTTTCTTAAATTATTTGGCGGACACATTTTTTGAAGTCAAGGTCCCTGTGACCTAGACCTTTGACCCAGTGACCTCAAAATCAATATGGGGTCATCTACTAATCATACCTAACCTCCATGTCAAATATGAAGACTGTGGGTCACAGGAATCTTAAGTTATTGGGCGGACAAGACAAGGCCCCTGTGACCTTTGACGTTTGACCTAGTTACCTCAAAAT